ATGGTAGTTCCTGTCTTGCTTCTCGTCTCCCTGTCTCCCTGCATGTAAATACAGTAGTTTATATTACTCTAACTACCAACAAATCTAATATACTATAGGACTAGGCGTGTGTCTGTTTGTCTGTTTGTGTGTGTGTGTCTGTTCTGGGCAGCCGAAACGGCACAATCGTTTTTCATCAAACTTGGTGGAAATATCGCAAAAAAATCGTAGAGTGGAACAAACCTGGTCCCATATCGATGGTTTCTTTAGGAAGCCAATAATTAACCATTTTATTTATGCTGGAAAACGATGCAAGTGTACTGACTTGGCGCACCCTCATTCGCTGTACACTGTCAGCCCAAGATTGCAGTTATCGTACGGCTTCCTCCTCCTTTCCCCACGTTTTTTCTTAGCCTACTTTTTTTTAATGTTGTTTGTATTAGTAAAGGAAGGAAGATGAGTAAATAGAAGAATAAAGAAGGGGAAACAGGAAATAGTTAAAGATAACAGGTGGGGGGGAGGGGGAGCTGAGTTTCATCATGCGTCTGGATCCGCAGTTTCAATGTTACTAGACGACCTTACAGCTACTGTGTACACTTATTCCTGTGGCTGACTGTACATGGAAAAGGAGAAGAGATAAAAAGATAATAACAGGAATGCATGGAGAAGATGACTACAATAGACACAGGGTGAATATAGACAGTGAAACAGACAGGAGGTTGACAAAAATAGACAGATTCATACATGCACAAATAGACAATATGGCAACTAACATGACAGACAGACAGCTGACTGACTGGTTCACATTAGACAAACAGGCAGACACACGCCAACAACAGACAGATTTGACGACACAAAGAGTACAGACGGGCTTACATTCAAACACCACGCAGACGAACAGACAGTTGGGATGGCAATAGACAGGACGGATAGACTTGAGACAGATTAGAAGGCATTTATAAACAAGAATAACACCAAATTGACCATAGCTGCGTCAGTGAGGGTAGGAGGTATTACATCCACCAGAGTAAATAATAAGATGCATTGAAAACTAACACCCTCGCGCGGAAAGAACATCGATGGTCGGTCAGTCATGTGAGATGGGCCTAAAACTAACTAATGTAGATAATGACTATGATGACTTAACACAGGTGATGACTTAAGCAGATGGTGACTAATCTAACCAGAATCAAGGTCACTTCTCTTCATAATATAATTTATCTCTGAATGATCATCGGTGATTCATAATAATTTTTTTTTATGATTTTAACCTCTCCTTATGGCGAATATTTCTTTAACTAATTATTCTAACCTTTATTCTATTCCTTCTTATAGTATATTAGATACTGTAAGTATCACGACCACGACCATGATTATAACAACCACGACCATGATTACAACAACCAAGACCATGATTATAACAACCAGGACCATGATTATAACAACCACGACCATGATTATAACAACCCCGACCATGATTATAACAACCACCACCATGATTATAACAACCTCGACCATGATTATAACAACCTCGGTAAACTGTACCACCGGACTCGCCACAGGGCACGAAGGGCCCACGATCACTTGTACAAACTAAAGTCTCTATGAAATTCAATCAACGACCCTGTGAAAGCCTGTCAGTGTTTCAGTTTAGTAAAGTCACGTCCAAATTCTGGATCGACGGACGAACCAACGTTTTAATTTAATAATACTGACGCACTGATGGTCCAGCCGATACTATATATATATATATATATATATATATATATATATATATATATATATATATATATATATATATATACAAAACTTTCAAAATATATTGGTTTTAAAAGCGACTCTACTAGGTGCCGGATATTGGGCCAGTGCATAGAGCTGACGCGCACCAACCGCCACTTATGCTCAGAACTAGGAATCAACGTTAACAGCGAAAAAATAATAATTAAATTAATGCCTACGTTAAAAAAAAATCTATTGGTCAATTTCGGTGTTCAAAAAGTTGTACAAATGAGACAGAATCAACGCCTGTGTAAAACGACAGTACATAAGTTGTACAACCAGTGCCTACAGTCAAGTCTCTTTTATCAGGGCCGTGTCTCTCTCCTCTCTTCGAATTTTAGTCGGGCGAGATCATGTGTATTTGTTATGGTTCAAAGGCTGGCACGACGGCAGAGACGGCAAAACGTCTCCATTGTGAATTTACGTTTCCACTTGAGCTGAAGATTTCCACTAGCATCAAATTATTTGGACATCCATTCTAGAGTCCACGTCGCGATATACCGACCTAAGTTTTCACGAATTATTTCCATATATGAGCAATTGATTCGGCTGATTCTATTCATGTAATTAGATATATAAGTTTTGTTGCTCATGTCCAACCATTAGCATTAAAGTACCACCCACGTCTTATGAAAATGTTTTGTGATCTAAGTCAACTAATCCTATTTCACATATGAATTTACAAAAAAAATTCATATTATATAAAACGTTGTCAGTTAACAAAGATATGAGACACAAGTAACGTTATGTGTAACTGGTGACAACTTGACAACAGAAACAGAAATGTGTCTCACTGCGCCTCTCATCCCTAAGAATGCTCCATATAGGAATCATAACATCATTATGCCTTATATATATATATATATATATATATATATATATATATATATATATATATATATATATATATATATATATATTATATATATATATATATATATATATATATATATATATATATATATATATATATATATATATATATATATATATATACAATGAACCTTCTCACTGTATTGTCCATAAACTCTAGTAACTATTTTATAATCAGTACATCTCCTCTCCCTTCTATCCCATTCTGTAAGTACAGTATATATTGTTACGGCCACTCCTGAATAACCTTCTTCTTTCAGCAGTGCTCCAACTCCTTGGCCCACTAATCAGACTCACTTTCTGAAATATCGGCTTTGGTTAACAGACCAGAATCATTTTGACAATCTTTTGCTTCATCTAGCTGACAGTTGAAGATGTCATTTAATATTATTACACTGTGACAATACATCCAAGGAAACTATTCATTATACTGTAAAAATTGAGTCAGCACTGAGAAATACTAATTTATAATAGTTAACAACTAATATATTTACAGTAAAACAAGAGTACAGACATTGACACTGCATGGCCTTGTGGCCCAATTGACTTAGTAATTTATCTATCTTAATCTCCCAATATGGCTCTTCCTCCATTCACAGAAATATCTCTTAGATTTCACACCCAAATGCTGGTGAGTAAATTAATGCCAGAATTTGGGATATACAATGAATGAAACAAGATTACAATCACTTTCCTGGTCTCACATCGACACCCTGTATTCATCCCTGGAAGAAGGCAACTTCTAAATATATGTATATATTTTTTTACAATTAGAGTCATAACTCGAAACTTCTTTGTATAAGTACATAATATTATATGATTACAAAATATTAAGAATTTCATTGAACCAATATAATTCAAATTAAATACAAACAAATGTACTAAGTCTAACTAAAGGACACACATCTTTTATATCACCTTTCTTAGAAAACCAAACCGCTTTTGGAACTGGAACTAAAACAAAAAGAATATGCAGCACACATCTTAATATATTACCGGAATGTAAATACAGAGCCATATGTAATAATATATATTTTTATGATTTATATACAATTATTTTAAGTTTCTATTATCTGACACAGATCTCTTCCACCAACACGCAATTTTATAACCCCTGAATCTCTCCATATTGTTCTCCTCCCAAAAGTGAGGTATCACAGCTGGTGTTGTCCTAGTGATTGGCCAACCCTCACACACACACACACACACACACACACACACACACACACACACACACACACACACACACACACACACACACACACACACACACACACACACACACACCAAACAAAAATATTCACCTATAGTTCTTTACCCTCTTTCATGCCACATCCAAACGTCAGCTGATCAAACACAACACAACTTGAAAACCTGACAATTGTGGTCATTCCCTTCACAGCCCTATAGTTCGCCATACCCCTGAGAAACTACGATTTTCCCCTACCTGGTGGTTCTATATTTCCCATGGTAGTTCTATCTTTCTTCTGGGGGTTCTACCATATCTCTTGCTGGTTCTATCACCTCTCTTGACCTCTACTGATGGTTCTATCACCTCTCATGATCGTTCTATCACCTTTCATGATGGTTCTATCATCTCTACTGATGGTTCTATCACCTCTCATGATGGTTCTATCACCTTTCATGATGGTTCTATCATCTCTACTGATGGTTCTATCACCTTTACTGATGGTTCTATCACCTTTCATGATGGTTCTATCAACTCTCTTGATGGTTCTATCACCTCTACTGATGGTTCTATCACCTTTCATGATGGTTCTATCACCTTCTCTGATGGTTTTATCACCTCTACTGATGGTTGTATCATCTCACATGATGGTTCTATCACCCCTCCTGATGGTTCTATCATCTTTACTGATGGTTCTATTACCTCTCCTTATGGTTTTATCACCTCTACTGATGGTTCTATCATCTCACATGATGGTTCTATCACCTCTACTGATGGTTGTATCACCTTCTCTGATGGTTCTATCATCTCTCCTAATGGTTCTATCACCTACCCTGATGGTTCTATCACCTCTCCTTATGGTTCTATCATCTCTCCTAATGATTCTATCACCTTCTCTGATGGTTATATCACCTCTCCTGATGGTTCTATCATCTCTCATGATAGTTTCTATCACCTTTCATGATAGTTCTATCATCTCTACTGATAGTTCTATCATCTCTACTGGTAGTTCTATAACCTCTCATGATGGTTTCTATCATAGCGCCATGATGGTTTCTATCATCTCTACTGATGGTTCAATCACCTTTACTGATAGTTCTATCACAGCTTTCATGATGGTTCTATCAGCTCTCTTGATGGTTCTATCACTCTACTGATGATGGTTCTATCACCTTTCATGATGGATCTATCACCTTCTCTGATGGTTCTATCACACTCTCATGATGGTTCTATCACCTTTCATGATGGTTCTATCACCTCTACTGATGGTTCTATCACCTTCTCTGATGGTTCTATCACCTCAACTGATGGTTCTATCACCTCCCCTGATGGTTTTATCACCTCCTCTGATGGTTCTATCACCTTCTCTCATGGTTCTATCACCTCCCCTGATGGTTCTACCACCTCCTCTCATGGTTCTATCACCTCTACTGATGGTTCTATCACCTCTACTGATGGTTCTATCACCTCTCCTGATGGTTCTATCACCTCCCCTGATGGTTGTATCACATCCCCTGATGGTTCTACCACCTCCTCTCATGGTTCTATCACCTTCTCTGATGGTTCTATCACCTTCTCTGATGGTTCTATCACCTCAACTGATGGTTCTATCACCTCTCCTGATGGTTCTATCACCTCTACTGATGGTTATATCACCTCTCCTGATGGTTCTATCACTTCTCCTGATGGTTCTACCACCTCCTCTCATGGTTCTATCACCTCTACTGATGGTTCTATCACCTCCCCTGATGGTTCTATCACCTCCCCTGATGGTTCTATCACCTCCCCTGATGGTTCTATCACCTCCCCTGATGGTTCTATCACCTCTCCTGATGGTTCTATCACCTCAACTGATGGTTCTATCACCTCCCCTGATGGTTCGATCACCTCCCCTGATGGTTCTATCACCTCTCCTGATGGTTCTAACACCTTCCCTGATGGTTCTATCGCCTCCCCTGATGGTTCTATCGCCTCCCCTGATGGTTCTATCACCTCCTCTGATGGTTCTATCACCTTCTCTGATGGTTCTATCACCTCATCTGGTAGTTCTATCACCTTCCTTGGAGGTTCTATCACCCCTGAGAGCTTCACCACACCTCTAGGAGCGCCATTACTCCCTGAAGGCTTCACCCCCTCACACATGGCGTTGTTTTTCCACCCCGAGACTTCTACTCACATTAAAGGGTCTACCATTACCCTTAGTCACTCCTCTAAGTCACCCCTTGAGGTGCCACCAGCCCCTGTTACTCCCTCAGGGCCACACCACAAGTAATAATTATATCCATTACCAGTCGACCATCACTCTCCTTCATCATTCTCTTGAACATGTCTTTATTCTCTTTATCACTCTGTCCTTTAGTGTCCTCTTTATCACTCTCTCCTTCAGTGTCCTCTTTATCACTCTCTTCCATTGTCCTCTTTATCACTCTCCCCTTCAGTGTCCTCTTTATTACTCTCTTTCAGCAATCTCTTTATCACTCTGTCCTTAATTGTCCTCTTTATCACTCTCTTCCATCGTCCTCTTTATCACTCTGTCCTTCAGTGTCCTCTTTATCAGTCTCTCCTTCAGTGTCCTCTTTATCACTCTCTTTCAGTATCCTCTTTATTACTCTGTCCTTAAGTGTCCTCTTTATCACTCTCTTCCATCGTCCTCTTTATCACTCTCCCTTTCAGTGTCCTCTTTATCACTCTCTTCCATCGTCCTCTTTATCACTCTCCCCTTCAGTGTCCTCTTTATCACTCTCACCTGTGTTTTCTTTGCCACTATCTGATCCTCTGATAAAAAAGTCTACCCTAAAAAGTTGTAATTTAAAAAAAAGACACCATATCTCCGCCTTGTTTTTTCCTTTAGTCATCCCTCAATAGAGCCAAATACTTTTATGTTTTCCGTCCCTTTTTTTTAAATTCACTCTTCTCTAATTTTTATTGCCGCTTCGTAGTTCCATTCTCACTGCCTCTCGTCTCTTTCCTTCTGTTTCTTCCGGCTCCCTCCCTCCCTTCTGTTTCTCTCCCTTCCGTTTTTCATTTTCTCTTCCGTTTTCATCCTTCCCTCCCTATTTTCCGTATTATTTCTTTCTCTACCTCCCGTCCTTTTTCCTTCCTCTCTCTATTGTATTTTTTATTTTTTCATTTCTCTCCGCTCCTCTCCTGTTTTGTCGATTATCTCCCTCTTTCTCTCTTTCCACCCTCCCTTCCTCACAACTCCTTTCCTTCTTTTCTTTTTGTTCCCTCCATTCCATTTCCCCCTCAGCTCTCTGTCCCTCGCTTTCGTCCTTCCCCCACTCTCGACTCTCTGACTCGCTTTCGATTCTCTCCCTTGCTTTCCGTATCGGCTCCCTTCCTTCCTCCGTCCTCACTCCTTTCTCCATCCCCCCCACACCGCATTCTTTCCTCTCCGTCCTAACAGAAGGGTGGACAGACAACAACAGTCGGCCACTCTCCCTGGCACATTTTTAATCTTATATTTTTCTCAACTTTTCTTTTGCCTTTTTGAATATTGAAATATTTCTTAGTTTCTCATTATTCTGGCTTTATTATTTTCCATATCAGTAAGCAGGATGTGAGTAAGCTCCCACAGCACATTACTCTACAATGGTGCAGTGTAGACAAGCACTGGTGTTCAACACTGCGTAAAGGTTCATTTTAAAGTAACTCAAGGGACTCAACATTACTAATTGATTATGTTCCAGAGCAAATTCTCATGTTCGTGCGTACACACACACACATACACACACTGCCACGAAGCCATGCCTATCTGGGCGTTTCTGTGAGTGAGCTGCCAAAGGGTCACATGAAGACCCCTTCCCACCACCTCCCTCCTTTCAACTCCTCTCTCCTAAAATATACCAGCAAACTTTCACCAAGAGAACACTGCAGGAAGTGATGACAATATCATTTAGAAAAGGAATGAATGTGATGCTGTAACAGTGAAGCGGTCAGTAAAAACATTGCTGTTGTCGCGGTCAGCTGACAGTATTTACAACTTTTATCTTTCGCACAACACCACCAGAGAGGGAAGTACTACAACTACATGTTATCCTCTACACCATCACCAGAGAGGAAAGTAGAGTACAACAACTACAACCACGTGTTATTCTCTACAACACCACCGGAGAGGGAAGTATTACAACCACCTGTTATCCTCTACAACACCACCGGAGAGGGAAGTACTTCAACCACGTGTTATCCTCTACAACACCACCAGAGAGGAAGTACTAATAACCACGTGTTATCCCCACAACACCCTCACCAGAGAGGGAAGCACCAACTACATGTTATCCTCTTACACCATCACCAGAGAGGGAAGTACAGTACAACAACTACAACCACGTGTTATCCTCTACAACACCACCAGAGGGAAATACTACAACCATCTGTTATCCTCTACAACACCACCCCAGAGAGGGAAGTACTCACAACCACGTGTTATCCCCACAACACCACCGGAGAGGGAAGACCACAACCACGTGTTATCCTCTCTCATAACACCACCAGAGAGGGAAGTACTACAACCATCTGTTATCCCTCATTAACACCACCAGAGTACTCACAACCACGTGTTATCCTCTACAACACCACCGGAGAGGGAAGCACTACAACCACGTGTTATCCTCTACAACACCACTAGAGAGGGAAGTACTACAACCACGTGTTATCCTCTACAACACCACCAGAGAGGGAAGTACAATAACTACAACCATCTGTTATCCTCTACACTACCACCAGAGAGGGAAGTACTACAACCATCTGTTATCCTCTACAACACCACCAGACAGGGAAGTACTACAACCACGTGTTATTCTCTACAACACCACCAGAGAGGGAAGTACTACAACCATCTGTTATCCTCTACAACACCACCAGAGAGGGAAGTACAACAACCACAACCATCTGTTATCCTCTACACTACCACCAGAGAGGGAAGTACTACAACCATCTGTGTATATTCTACAACACCACATTATCAGTGACGTATATATAACTTTTGTTAAAATAATCCTCTCCCCTGTATCACTATACCTAATAATGTACAGTATAGAGCAGTATGCCTTCTTTGTATAGTATCAGCTTTTGGACTGCTGTACTTTTCAATAGCCTATTCAACATAATCATAGTCATCATCATTAATGTCATTATTACTGTTATTATTTTTATTATTAATATTATTACTAATGTTATTCTCATCATTATTAATGTTGTTATTATTATTATTATTATTATTATTATTATTATTATTATTATTGTTATTATTGTTGTTGTCTGTGTACGTACATTGTTCATATCACAATGCGCTCTATGTAATTTGTAAAGCTGCACTGTCGGTGCCTTAATTAAGAAAGACGTTTGCCACATTGGGTTTGCATCACCGTAACCTAGCAGCACATATTTCAATAACCTTCAAATACAAGAGCTAATAATAATTAGGTGCATCCCGCTGGACCTTAAAGAATTCACTCTACAGTATAGTTCACACTCTGCCATGGAGGATTGTCCAGATTGACTTATATGCAGTCTACCGTCACCTTCCCTGCTTCTCAGACACATTCCTTAATCTTTACTCCCCACTCCCAGACTTGATGCCTTGTCATTATTTTCCCCTGGATCTTGGCATCTACAGTACCTCCTGCACTGCTTAATATTCTCATCAACCTCTTCCTACTCCTCCTCCTCCTCCTCTTCCTCTTCCTCTTCTTCTTCCTCCCCCTTTTCCTCCTCCTCTTCTTCTTCCTCTTCTTCTTCCCCCCTCTTCCTCCTCCTCTTCTTCTTCTTCCTCCTCCTCTTCTTCTTCTTCCTCCTCCTCTTCTTCTTCTTCCTCCTCCTCTTCTTTCTCTTCTTTCTCCTTCTCCTCTTCTTCCTCCTCCTCCTCTTCTTCTTCGTCCTCCTGCTCTTCTTATTCCTCTTCCTCTTCTTCTTCCTCCTCCTCTTCTTTTCCTCCTCCTTTTCTTCTTCTTCCTCCTCCTCCTTCTCCTCTTCTTTTTCCTCCTGCTCCTCCTCCTCTTCCTCCTCTTCTTCTTCCTCCTCTTCTTCTTCTTCTTCCTCTTCCTTTTAAGGCTGCCTCCCGAAAGCTGGTAATGCTGTACAGATGCCGTAGCTACTTCATTCCTGAGCAGTTGCTTGAAGTTTATAAGGGATTCATTAGTCCCAACTTGGAGTACTGCTCTCATATCTGGGGGTGGCTCTTCTTCTGTCCAACTGTTAGATAGGGTGGAATCAAAGGCATTTCGTCTTATTGACTCTCTTCCTTTAGTTGATAATCTTTCTTCCCTTTCTCTGCGCCGCAATGTTGCTTCACTCTCTCTCTTTTACAGGTACTTTAACGGGCAATGTTCGGTGGATTTGGCACTCTGTGTACCGTCGGCAAGATCGTAGTCTCGTAACACTCGTTTTGCCCGAGGTGCACACCGTTTCTCTGTGGATGTCGGTCGAACTAGAATAACCCGTTATAATACACCCTTCTTTCCTCATACAGCCAAACTGTGGAATACATTGCCTTTTTCTGTGTTTCCATACTCATACAATCTGTTTCACTTAAAAAAGCTGGTTTTCCGGCACCTTCGTGGTGTAGATTAATATAATCCTTTTCTTTTCTATTTTTAAATTCTTTTTATCTTATTTTTTCGCCCCCTGGGCCCCGTAAGAAAAAAAAGCTGCTGTCCCTAGGGACATCTCACTCTCCTTTACTGTATATATTAGCCTTGTTAGTAACTACTCCTTAGTCCGTACTCACCCCTGAAGATGTGAATTACACGAAAGGGCTTGGGAACTTCGTCTTTTCTTTATTTCCTATGCGGTTATCAGCATATACAAGGATCACGCACACCTACATTAACGAATGATCATCAGATAAAGTAAATATGCTAATCAGTGGTGTAATTGGCCACCCTTTCCAAAGGTTCCAGAGCCTACCAACTGTTCACGAGGTACACAGATGCGTGCGTCGGGTGGCTCAAGTGCTCAATTTCACCTGTGTTTTAACATGAGCTGCTAGACTATATAAAGAGAGCACGGTATAGTGATCCAGGTGTGATGGGTGTATCACCATTCTCACTGCACGTTGTCTCGATATTGATCGACCAGGTAATATTGGTATTCCTCAGGTAGCCTTGGGTAACGTCTGGCAAGGAGTTAACAGTAAATTGGGTGGACCATTGTTAGTGGTCAGCAGCGTAGTCACACGGGCAGTGACGGACTGGACTACAGTAGTTTACTTCCCAGGAAATGTGTTGGTGGTAGGGTTTCTCAGGAAGTTTCCCCATTGACCAAGTTTGACAG